CCTTCCAAGATCTAGTCAACTGCACGACTTAGAAGCTTTCTACAAAGTTATTATACAAAAACAAGAATTGTATGAACAGTCTTCATTCACATTCGTCAGTGTATGCTGTAGTAAGTTAGAGGTATGGTGGCGTAATGTTTAATGCACTGTCCCATGGATTACAGATGTATGTCTGGTTCGAGCCTTAACGGAGATCACTGTGTTGTGTTCTCAGGCAAGACACTACACTCACACTACCTCTCCACCTTGGTGTATAGATGGGTACTGGCAAATTAAATGGTAACCTTGCAATGAACCAGTATATTATCCAAGGGGGAGTCGAAATACTGACTCTTAGTCACTTACATGTAATACTGCAGAAACTGGGGTATGCTCTGGCAAGCTAGATTGGACCCCTCATGCTGATGCAGTATGTAACTTCTATGCCCTGGAACTTGTGCAATCTAAACAGTAAATTGTTTCTTATTAATGAATTCCCAAAGCAGCAATGATCAAAAATGCCCACATGAAAATAAAGTGAATATGCCAAAACTTTGAAAGGAATGGCATGTGCAGCGTGTAATCTAGGATGTTTAATACATATGACCTATTGTTTGTGCAGATGATGCTGATTGACCTTAATGACTGCAGACAATGCCCTAAAGTTCTCAAATATTGTGCACTTGATGGTCTTGCAATTACCTGTAAAATTAATTGTATTATCATAAAAATTATTATTAACAAGACTACATGCCAAATGGTAACATCTGTCCTGTCTGTTTTGCAGGCTGAAACTCTTTCTTGAGCAGTTTTCAATCAAAGCCTGTGTGTTGAATTCTGAATTACCTCACAATTCAAGGTAACCTGCAAGTTTTTCTGCTTGCTGTTTCATAGCTTTTAGTTATTTTGTTCATCTCTGTTAGCTGCATACTGTGTGGGGTGCTGTTCAAGTTGTAATTCAATAATGTTTTTTGTCATTTTCAGATTACATATAGTAGAAGAATTCAACAGAGACATTTATGACTACATCATAGCATCTGATGAAAGTGTGTTTGATGCTGTGGCCTCGACATCTAGTATCCTTCACA